TTGCAATTTTAATTCACGTATTTATATAGAACGATATAAATCTTGTAAGAAAAATTGTATTACCTTAAGACACCCAGTATCTTTCGTTTCGAATCCCTTTAATTATACTCTAGGTCTGAAATTCAACACAAAAGGCTTCTCATATATTGATAAATATCATAAAACGTTCCGGTACAGAATATCTTCCACTTCCTTTCTTCCTTCAATCAACGTTTCAGATCACAGATATCTCTGATCCAAGACAAAGAACTCGTGCAACGATATTAATCTTCAGAAATGAAGAAATAACATAAAGGATCACTATACACAACCAGTGTCTTTCATTTCCTGTTTCCTTAATTACATTACCAGATCTGTGATTTTATATCAAACAGAAAGGAGCGTGTACAGGGAATCTGAATCGCTCTGGCGGAATATTGCGACGTGCCTTTCTTTTTCCTGTCACATTTTAATCAAAATTTCAACATTACACCCCACAAGGTAAACACATTGTTATATACACAGCGGAGCCTCCGGTTATCCGAGGTGCTTCGAACTCAAAATAAAATGACAAAAATTACATTATTTCTTAGGTTCGATGGGTGTTCATAAATCGTGCAATAAAATCGTAAAAAACATTTTCATATTAACTATTTAATAAATACATGTACAGTATTATTATTTAAATGATGAACAGTTAATTAAACCTAGATACACGTACAATTTTACGCTATCAAAATGTTTTTTATGATTTTCTTGCGCGTCTTGTGAACACCCATCGATCCTTCCCTATTTTCCGAGTTTTCGATTATTCGAGATAGGCTCGATCCACATCACCTCGGATAACCGAAACTCTACTGTACGTAATAAATTTGGACTACATTTTGCAGTGATTGGAATAAATGAAAATTCGCCGGTGTTAACAAGGGATAATCACGGATTTTTATTAAATTTTGGTGTAAAGTAGTTCTCTAAAAACATATTTGATACCTTTTTTTGATGAAAATCTCCCTCATAGATGGAGGCAGTAAATTTATTTGGTCCAAATTATTTATTTTTTAAATTTGTCGTTGGAAAGTAGAAAATTCGTCAATTTACATTATTCTGTCTTTAATAATTTTGGAGATATTAGACTCAATATATTTACTGTCTTCAACTTTGAAGACAGTTTTCACCCCTTCACTGTGGACAATTGTCACTATTAAAAATATTTTTTCTTTTTCTTTTTTTTTTGAGAAATGCTATATGAACAAAGTTTCGTTAAAAATTGGCGATTATCGTTTCTTCGGGATGTTTCCTTGTAAGTAGTGTTTTGTGTTGAATTTGTCGATATGTGGGTACCATGTGTCTGTGCAGAAACAAGAAGACAGGCCGTCTCTTCTGACCGGAAATGTTAATTAATTAAGAGAAAGCCGTTCGCTATATTTATTAACGAATAGACACATCCTCCACCCAAGTTGTACGTCTTCTCAGTAACATTATTAGAGAGTTGCAAACGATTGGGTTGAATAAAACTTGAACTTCCGTGTGTTGCTCATTTTTTAATAATATTGTCACAGAAATTTAACGAACTCTAAGGAATATTACTTAAGACCTAATTTTCAAATATAATTCTTAATTCAAATATCATTTTTAAGGATGTATTTTCCAAATATAATTTTTAAGGTACAATTTTGAAATATCATTTTTGAAAGTATAAGTTCCAGATATGATTTTCAAGGTGGAAAATATCCAAATACAATTTCTAATTATCAGCGTTACACTGAAACAAGTAATAAACCTTATACGCTTCCTTCTCTTTGAATATCACACATGCCTACAGACAATCAAATCCCATGAAAACGCACAAAATCATTTTTATCAACATTCCACCCGATACCATCTGGAAACCTCTTAAGAAATAATCGAAGAAAAAGGAAAAATGGTATATAATTGGCAAACAATAGGCACAGACATCAGATACGAGCATAGAGAGAGAGTCATAGCAGCTGCATTTCTTACCGGTCATGGCCGACGTTTATGCCAAAAGCGCGCTTGATCGATCGATCGATCTCACGATCGCTCCTCCCTATTCTTCTCTGTTCATTCTTGTCGCAAATGGACGCGTCGTTAGTTGCGAAACGACACGAAAGTCAGTCGCGATGCGTCGTCCTTTTCACTGTTCTGGCGTCGAAACAAGTGGAAAAACAAAAAAAGAAATAAAAATGGAAAAGAAAAAAGAAAAATAAGAGGAAAGCAACGTCTGAATGCGACGCACACCGATAACGGTCTGACCTTGCCACGCTCGAACGATCGAGAATCTCGCGCTTAGATGTTCATTTACACTCTGTTCAAAATAAGAGTAACCTCGCTTCGCGCATGGGACGTGCCTAAGGCAGGGCTAGAACCACTAGAACGTCCAAACCCCCCACTTAACCGCCTACGTTTCTCTCCGTCTTACCCTCTGCTACGCTCTCTCTGTCTATGCGCAGAACGGACGAGAATCGGTCCGGGAGCGAGGTTACTCTTATTTTGAACGACGTATAGATCTACCGCGGAGCTTCACCTGCGGTCTGACGATCGAATGGAACCCGTTGAACCAACCGAATCACCCAGGTTTGAATTTCTACGAGCCGAGATCCCGGAAAGAATGCGACCGAATGCCATTATGAATCGTTTACTTTCGGTGAGAAACGATGCTCGATGAAGGTTCTCCTCTTCGATTCTCATGAATACGTTGTATACGTAGCATAAACAATGAAAGTATTGCTACTCTTGCAGATTTTTTCTTTTTTTTTTCTTTTATTTTTCTGTTATTTATAGTAGAGGAGAAGGTCTAAATACGGGCTACGGAGCTATATAGTAGCTTTATAATGTGGGTTAGCCAATTGTAGAATTCGGTGACTGTGAGAATTGCAATGAGAGAAGTACAAAAAAATTAAAAAGAAAGATATGCAAAATCTTGAAAAAGACGGTTTTGTGACTATTGTAAATAGCATTTAAGTTTAAGTTTACATTTTCATAATTCATAATCGAATTTTTATTGCGAATTTTTTACCACGAAAGTTCATTCAACGATTCGCAACTACAGAAACGGACGATGTCGTGATATTTCATTAGAGGATACACGTTTGTCTCTCTTGCATATTTACGTCAGTCGAGGATTAAATTAATGGAAGTACGTTCGTTTTGATCCACCGGGATTCTGTTATATTTATCGTAAAAAAACATCAATCGTGTATAAAATTAACGATGAAACGGGTGTAAATATTTGTGTGGGTGGTGAGAAATAAACGTGTACGGTTGATTAAAATATGTGATTTTTATAGGGAACGAAATAAAAACGGTATCAAACGGGAGATTTTTTTTTTCGATAGCGCAAAATTCCACGGGTTTCTCTGATTGGCGAGAGTAGAAATTGGGCGAGTAGTATGCTTTGGAATGTCGAGTGAATGGAACGGAGTGGATCAGATCGTGGTCGTGATTTGTAATGACGATATTTGATGCCGGAATTCGATTATCGAGACTAGATTTTGTACAGGGAATAGCAAATGAGAGCCGTGGAGTGAATGGAAATAGGTAAAAGTGTGAAACTTTCGGTGTAACGTAAATAGTTAACGAGACAAAAATTAGATATAAAGATATTAGACATTCTTTTAAATAGAGCCTAGAAATATCGAGACATTTCACGGTTAAAGAGCAAAAATTTTCACTATTACACAAGAACCACGATTTCCGGTGAAAGAGATTTTTCCCCTGAAATTAATTAAATCAAATTTGAGACCATGTTTAATCACTTTAGAAATAATCACTTTAACCTTATTACAAAAATTGCACGCAGTGCAGAAAGTTGAAAGAGACTTTTTCCTGTAGAATTAATGAAAAACAAAACAAAAAGTTGGGATTTTTCTGTGAAAATAACATTTGATTTTTTACTGTATTTAATTACTTTCAAAATAGTTACTTTACTTTATTAAAACAATTCGACGCGAGGCAAAGGGTTGAAAAAGATTTTTTCTCTGAAGCTAGTTAAAAGCATGTGGCAACAGTTTTTGTCATATTTAATCATTTTCAAAATGACTTCAATTTATGACAAAATTCAGTGCACTGCAGAAAGTTGAGATTTTTCTCTGAAATTAATAAAAAAAATATTTCCTACGTTTAATCACTTTCAAAATAGTTACTTCACCTTATTAAAAAATTTCGACACAAAGCAAAGGATCGAAAAACACTTTTTCCCTGAAGCTAATTAAAAGCAGATTGCAACAATTTTTATCATATTTAATCACTTTCAAAATAATGATTAACCTATCAGAAAATTCCGCAAAAACTTGAGATTATTTATTGAAATTAATAAAAAGCTATTTACCACATTTACCCACAGTAAAAATAGTTACTTCACCTTATTGAAACAATTCGACGCGAGGCAAAGGGTCGAAATAAATCTTTTCTCTAAAGCTAGTTGAAAGCACATTGCAACAAATTTCCATCACACATCTAATCACTTTCAAAATAACTACCCTAACTCGAAAAAAAAAAAAATAAAATAAAATCAGCGCAGTGAAACAAAAGGGTTGGAAAAGGCGTTACCCAACTCGTTCACTCGTCAGCGCACCGAAGCATATTTTCGGTCGTCAACCCCACCGTCTCCTAGACAAAGTGTCTTCCTCAAAGACGACACAGAGCGGTAGTTTATGGTAGCCGATAGAAATGTGTGGCCAGAGCTTGCATATTCGGGTCTCTCATGTCAGTCCCATGCCAAGTCCACGGCGATGACATAAGCCCCGACCACCGAGCCAACGATGTAAACACGCGCCGGCGATTTTCGGTATTTCGTAAGATGGCTAACATGTTGAACCTTGAGGTATTATCGCCGCGCGCTAAACTTAGATTCATGCTGTGTCGGTGAGAGCGTATCGGTGGAAAATCGGTCTGACTGGTGGTCTGAAAATAATCCAGGCTCAGGCTCTCTCAACGGGAACAAACCGAACATCTCTGTCATCTCGCTTGCAGCTAACTCCTCCGTTTTTATGGTTTTCCAGATCCGGGCGAAAGTGAACCGCGACCCGGTAGAGAATGGACCGGCGAACACCGCGGTCTACGAGAGCGAACAGGTGAGTCACGCTTCATCTGTTGATCGTTTGTTAACACGTTTCGTGGCCTACGACAGGTTTCGAACGTTTTACACTTTCACTGTGGCGAACGAAGTGGAGCTTCTGACGTATTTACAGGGTGCTTGAGAAAGAAAGGAACGGTGACAGACGTTAGGAAATTGGGGAAACTTAATTTCTCAGGTGAGAAGAAAGGTAGATCATTTTTTTTTTTTTTTTTATTAACCCCTTGACCTATGATTTTTTTTCCTGACCAAGACGTCTAAGCGTCAGCTGTTTACTGTTTCCGTACACTGTATCAGGTGACAGAAGCTGATCTATAGCAGATTAATTGCATTTAGTAATCCTCAGCCTTACAAATTAAAGCGAAAGGATTAAATTTTTTTTCTCTTACCGATTGACCAGAACCTCTGTCACGAGTCTGACCCGTTGTTACAAGTCAAGCGGTTAATGTAAAATCACCTTTTGTTTTGTTTTTTTACCAATTGGGTAATACAATAGTGTGGAGTTGTGTGATTTTGCTAAATTGTGGGTTAATGGGAGATAAATAAAATGATGCGTTTAGCTTGAATAAATAGAATCATGTAGTTAGATTAGATAAACAGAATTGCACGTTTAGCTGGGATAAATGAAATTATGCATTTAGCTTGAATAAATAAAATTGTGCGTTTAGCTGAGATTCGCGGAAATTGCAGTTTGGCGAATTTATCAGTGGAATAAGTTTGTAATATGGAAGTAACTTTTTTTTAGAGAAACTTAAATTGATGATATTTTTATTGATAAACGTGTTTTGTGTTTAAAGAGTCTTCACTTGCGTATTAAAATATATTCAAATCTTCTCCAGATATCTTCTTTGGAGAAAAGACAAATTTTAATACTTTGATCACTTTTTTCAAGCACCCTGTATCTTTCACTGGAGTAAATCAGTGAATCCAGAGTTTAGTGTAATCTTTATTTTTGTCTAATTAAATATTCTTCGGGGATCTGGTTTATTTTCTCTTGGACATGAAACGTGTTAACCTGTTAACCAGTAGTTTTAGATCATATATATAATTGATAAAAAAATGGTTACTCCATCTTGTTTATATTAACCCTCTACTGTCGAGGCGGAGTCTCAGAGACTCTACCTGTTTTGTTTTCTTCCATTCTACTTAGACCTCAGCGTTATTATATTAAAATGAAAACCTGTGATAAAGGTAAATCGGTAAGAAAAGTTGTCAGAAGTGTTCTATATTTATAAACTAACCCGAAGTGGAGGAGTTTCGTAGACTCCGTACCGGGCTTCACGTCCCAAAAACGGTGTCTCGTCGGTAGAGGGTTAAACGAGACTGTTTTAACGTGATTTATACTATAAATAGATTTATGTGGAAAAGAAAGTTAAAAGTTAAGCGATAAAAATTCTCAAAGTAAATTCTGCGATTGCTCGAACAAAACGTTTTATCTTAAGCAAATTTTCCTTGAATTCTATTGATATTAATCGACGTATCCTTCATTTTAACAGAGGCTGATAAAGAAAATGAATTGATTATGCGGTATCTTTAGGATTGCTTAATTGAAACAGTCGTTTAAAATACGGATCTTAATAGATTTATTAATACTAATCGTACAATGTAGAAGATCAGATTGCATGAAGTATGATAAAAAGAAAAGCGTGGAAATTCGTTAGAAAAATGCTGCACAATCTTCGAATCTTCAGACGAAGTGTGCATTGTATTCGGTGTTTCAGAGTGTGCAAAACTTCGTACATATAAAGATAATTGAATTATTCTTTTATCCAATTTTATATATCTCGTTGACGAGTAAGTCGATGATTAGATCTGTTTCTGTTGGATTGAATAAAACGAGCCGAGGGGGCTTTCAACTTGTCAGTAGGAACAGTCTGTTTCTTCGAAACGTGTTTTAATTACCTTTGGCAGAAACCTTTTGCAGAGTATTTTAATTACCTTAACTAACAATTATGCAATACCTGCTTCTAAAAAATAATGACAGTACTCGAAATAGTATGCTGTGGTTTTTATCCACATTGCTGCTACTCTGAGCGAGTTTACTTTTAATTACTCAGCTAATTATATACTATCAATAATGATACTTGGTTGAAAAACACACCAAAATATTTCATTTTGACACTCAAAACTTTTGCTTTCATGTCATTATCCTTCTTATTTAATTTTCATACTTAAAACTTTTCTTTGTGCTCTGTTATTCCATCGAAAGCTCAAAACATTTGATTCTACTCAATCTTAAAGGCTATATCTTCCTCCTATTCCCTATTTCTTCGTAAAAAATTCTAAAATCAACTTCTACTCAATTCTAAGACTCCAAATCCTTTTTACTCCTTTTCACTGTTCACCAAAAGCTCAGAAAATTTGCTCCTACTCAGTTTTAAAGGCCACACTTTCTTCTTCTCCACTGCTACATGCAAAAGCTCAACAAATTTCTTTCTACTTCATTTTAAAGGCCATGATCTTCCTCCTATTCCCCATCCCTTCATCAGAAACTTTAAAATTCACCTTTATTAAATTCTTCTTGCTCCTCGTTGCTCCATCAAGAGCTAAAAAATTTGCTTCTGCTCAATCTTGAAGGCCATACCTTCCTCCTGTTCTCCATCACTTCATCAGAAACTCGAAAATCCACTTTTATTAAATTCCTCTTGCTCCTCGTTACTCCATCAAATCTCAAAAAATTACTTCTGCTCAATCTTGAAGGCCATACCTTCCTCCTGTTCTCCATCACTTCATCGGAAACTTTAGAATTCACCTTTATTAAATTCCAAGTCCCAAAATTCCTCTTGCTCCCCGTTGCTCCATCGAAAGATGAAAAAATTTCCTCCTACTCAATCTTGAAGGCCATACCTTCCTCCTGTTCTCCATCACTTCATCAGAAACTTTAAAATTCACCTTTATTAAATTCCAAGTCCCAAAATTCCTCTTGCTCCCCATTGCTCCATCAAAAGATGAAAAAATTTCCTCCTACTTAATCTTAAAGGCCATACCTTCCTCCTGTTCTCAATCACTTCATCAGAAACTCGAAAATCCACTTTTATTAAATTCCTCTTGCTCCTCGTTACTCCATCAAATCTCAAAAAATTTGCTTCTACTCAATTTCGAACAGTCTTCAATCTCGAAGACATTTCCCTACCCCCAACTTGGCCCAAAACTCATCAAATTTCCCTCAGCTCAATTTCAAAAGCCAAACATTCCTCTCTACTCCCTGCCAGCCGATCGGAGAACGTCAGCGTCATCAGCGTGTCCACATCGGTTGATCGACACGAACATACCCAACCAACCGGCTTTCGATCGCTCCTCGTCAAATGCCAAGAGGCCGACATTACCCGGGCGAGATCGGTGAAGAACGTTGGTTCGTTCGTTCGTAACCCAGTTAGCTGTAGTTAGCTGTATGGTTCCTGCTGCTACTTTCACCGACCGCGAAGTCGACTTCTGTCCATTCATCTGGCAGCGTGAAGGAACCGACGACGACGACGACCCGGTCAAAGTACCGTTGGAGCGTGCCGCGTGGCAGATCCGCGATCGAGCGCATAATTTTCGACCACTTTCACTGGCTACCAAGTAAGCCTGCTGTGCCTGCACACAGGCCGCGCGCACCTGACCTAATTGACCGACTCTGAACAGCAGATATCCACGCGATCAAGGTCGCCGTCGTCGTGTCGTGTTCGTTAGATTCTCTCTTCTACGTGCTAGGATAGAGAGCCTCCGTGAACGCGAAAGGTCGACAATGCACACCAACGTTCCCTATATTGGTGCCCATCAGCGGGAAAGCTCTCGATAGAGACGTGGCCTGAGGCAGGGGACGACGAGGCCAGGAAGTGCCGTTCCATGAAACGACTGCGACGATGTCACGATATTCCTCCTCGTCCTTTTCCCCTCAGCTTGTTCTCGTTGTACAGTGACGGACAAAAGTATGGATGCACACCCTTCGTTGGCTTCGTTCTGTATGATTGAGTCTTTATTTTCGATGGTGAATGGATAGGGGGTGTGTTCTTTGTGCAGGGATGATTGGTAGGTAGTTTATGGAGAGGTTAAAGTTCTTTTGCTGGAATTTTTGTCGATTTTTGCAAGGAATTTTCAACCCTTTTGTTTTTTTAATGGTTGCTTGTAGGTTAGAATTAGTTTGGAAGTAGGATTTTTAGGTTAGAAAGGTTTGATATTTCGTTAGGTACGAAGTTGAAGTTAAAACTTCTGTGTCGGTTATAAAACTGTGTCTTTTGTTATTTCTACACCGCAGCCTGTGTGACGAGTCGGGCTCGATATTTTACGTCAAGGGGTTAATTATAAGAAATATTGGAAAGTGGATAAACGTACGGAAATAAGTAACGAACTCTGAAGCTTTCTTTTGTTTTTAATAAAATCCACGTAGGTATGTTCTATCGTGCAATTTATAATCTACTAAAAGTCTCTTCCACAAACTAAAACATACATTTTCTAACCTACAAAAAGTTATTAAACCTAAAAAAGCCACGAACACTTTTGCAACCACCACCAAAAGATACGTAATCGATATTACACAAACACTTTTACAATTAATACCCAAAAATAAAAATAATAATACCTCGAACACTTGTACAAGCTAAAAAATACATTTCCTAACCTATAAAAAGGTAAATAAAATTCGAAGAGTCACGAACACTTTTCCAACAAATACCAAGAAACTAAGAAGGCAGAATAATTGAAAAGGCACCAACACCTTTACAGGCAACACCGAAAAATGTTCAAACTCCAAAGAGTGAGAACGGTATTGTTACTGATGCGCGCGCATCCTGACTTGCCGCGAAGCGTATCACCAGGTGCACTCTCTATCTGCGTTTCTCGAAATCGTTCGCGGTAATCGTGCTCGCGTAGATAACGTTAATGTTACGGCTGATAGGCGATCGCGCCGACATTGACGTTATCGCGACGCATCGAACACCGATCTTGCGTTTCGTCGAAATTCGTCTGCAACGCATGTTGCCGGAAGCGGAAGGGATCCAAGGTCTGCAACTTTTGTTT